CATAGTTGTGCCGATTGCTATCCCATATTCGGTCGACGCGGACAAAGTCAACTTTGGAGCCCCTATAGACTGTCAGCACAGAAAACATTTTTGGCGCTCAAAGACCAGGAAACAAGAAGCGGAACGTCGTGACGCTCAGCCGCGGGAGTGTCTTCCCGCCATGATCGGCGCAAAGTTTTCCACATTCTTGAAGCGAACACCCTATTCGTGACTGACTTTACGAGGGACGGAAGCTATAATTCCCTTTTCTGGAACTTGGAGCTGGGTGGATCGCGAGAGACCGACCTTTTCCCCGGCTTTCCCTTTGCCTTAGCACTTTTCTTCCCTAATTCGCCACTGATGCTCACGGTCTCTCCGATGCTTCCTCTTCCCACACGACCCCGTCCCAGTCGTTTGAGGCTCATAGCTTGCAGCTGAGCCAACTGTTGCCTGTAAAATTCAGCATCTCCATCTTCATCTTCATCATCATCCTCCTCTTCGTCATCATCTTCTTCCACCTCCTTGCTCTTCTTGGCCCGCTTCTTTTTTTTCAGCTGCTTTTTCTTTTTGCTCTTCTTCTTTTCCTCCTCCGACGAGCTTGACTCAACCTCCGAGTCGGAATCTGTGTCCTGTGCTTTGGCCTTTGCCTTTGCTCTCTTCTTCGCCTTCAGCTTCTTCGCCTTTCTCGCCTTGTTCTTTCTTTTTCTCTTGGCTGCCTCATCCTCCTCTGATGATGAGTCCGAGGAATCGTCTGAGCTGCTGGAGCTAGAGCTATCGGAGGATGAATCGTCGCTATCGCTGCTGCTGTCGGCCTCTACAGGCTTGGAATGCTTCCTGGTCTTCTTTTTGGAATCCTTGGCGTGCTTCGTGCAAGTAGACCTCTTGGCTTTAAGTTTTGTAGAAGTAGATTCCTTCGATGTAGATGGGCCCTCGGGCTTATTTGGGCTTGCATCTTCCTTGGCCTTTGGGCTTTCAGACTCTAGGGCGTTGCCTTCTTGCTTGGCGCTGGTATTATCGGTTGTTTCCTCCATCCTTGCGGCGTCGATGTCTGCAATGCTTTGATAGTTGGAGCTCGAGGATTTAGTTGGGGTCTCAGCAGGTGTAAAGTCTGAGGTGGTAGGACTGGTAGAAGCGTCTGTGGAAGGTTTCCAGGAGGAAGGGGTTGCGGGATGTTTGGCTGCGTTCTCTAGCTTAGGGATCATTAGGTCTGAGTCACGAGCCAGGCAAGTGTTAAGGTTGACCCCAGGCAATGTGTTGGATTATGGCGGAATGGTAGCAGAAGGATCGTTTGGGAAGGGGTGGTGGTGTAAAGTTGCTGGCAGGAGCTGAGACGCACATCTGGGCGACGAGACGGGTAGATGGTCCTTTTGTTTCGACAACGTCCAAGCCGGCCCTGACGCTGGAAGAAAGCGGATATGAGCTGATGCGGCTTATTGTTATGATGACCGTCGCTGTCTGAGTGTCCTTCCAGGGCTTCTGCCTAGGCCAAGAAGAGCTGGTCCAAGCGTGCGGAAGGATCCGAAGCATCCTCGTTCTGGGCTGATGGGTGAGGCTGAGTCCTTCGCCACTTTGTGTGCCGACAGCCTTGTTTCATTTATTTTCAGTACACATTTTTGATGCATTTTGTCTCTAAATATAGTTGGTGGCCAGACTTCTGCTGCAGCTTGCTCCTTTTTGATGCGACAAAAGGCAAGGTTGTGGAGAATGTAGGAGAATGATTGGCTCCCAACGTTTTGGATCCGCCTCGCTTTTAAATCTCTCCCTTGCTGTGCCTTGCATTCCCTTGCATACGAAAGGTCATTCCTCAACGACCCTGAAAAAAGGTGGTAGATTTGCCTCCAGATGACGGCCGGCTACTGTAAGATCTTGCCTTAATTCCTCAGGCCTGACTATGTGATCCACATATAATGCAGATGTACGTATAACTGGTTTACACATTGGGTCTAGGCCCAGTCTGTAGTTGATGACCGGATTCTCACCCTCAGAGTCTCGCCTTTTGCTGCAAGTATTCCCCGCTCTTGGCACGCTCACAAAGTGTCTTCAGAGCCCTGGCTCCCTTCTCAAAATCACCCAGGTCAAGGTAGACCTGCCCACTGAGCCTGGTCCAAAACCTTCTCGCATGGAAGAACACTGGCGAGTAAATATCCGACTCCCTCACAAGCATCGCCGTCATCCAGACGGCGACCAGATACATGTCCTTCTCTGGTATCTGCTCCCGCCCATCTCCGATCTCCAATGGTAATCGCACGTTCGTGAAAGCGCATTTCGTTAGCATTTTCGTCCCGTTCTCCATGACACCTGTTCCGAGGATCTTGGCAGCTTGTCTTCCAGCTTCACTTGATATCTCCTCGCAATACCTCATAATCTTTTCCTCTCCACCGCAGACCTCGCGCCTGAAGCGCAAAGCTTCTTCTATGCAGAGGTAGGGACTAACGTCTAGTGTCGCCACAAACTCAAAGAGCAAGGCAAACGGGCTTGTACTAGAGGCATCCTTCATGAGGGGGTTCATAATCTCGTGGCCTGGTCCTCGCGGCCTAGGCACAAAGCCATGAGAAGTTGGTAGAGATGTGCGGATCAAATGTTGGTTTCTTCTGGGGACGTGGAAGACGGCACATGCTCTGGGTACGTATAGCCATCTGGCGCAGTGTCAGACACCTCTGATCAGATCTCGTGCCAGGTGTATTTAAGTCAGCAAGCGAGAAGGACAAACTCACTTGTGGCAGTTGCTGGTAAAGAAGTCGGGTTGCACCTTCGACAACCCGAGATCTATTTGGCCAACCCCATGAGCACCGTCAACCAAACTCAGTACGTTCTCCTCCCGACACACCTCCACCAATCGCTCCCAAGGGACTCTGACGCCCGGCAGGCTTGAGATGGTATCGAAGATTGCGACCCCCACTCTCCGTCTCTTGCCAACCTTGACGTCGTTGATTGCCGTTTGGAACCTTGAAACCAATACATCGTCATCAATCGGATATTCCACCGCGACATTGACGCTTTCTACACCTCTGGTTTCGTGAATGTACTCTATCATCTTCGCCACAGACCCATACAAAGTACTCAGATGCAGAATCACTTCTCCCTTCTTGAACCTCAGATTCTCCAAGACAACGTTAATGGCTGTAGTGGCATTCGGCACGAATACTACTTCATCAACTGGAACATTTAAGAACGAAGCCATAGCGGCACGAGATCTGTCCAGCATTACGGGATAGTCATAGCGTTGGAAGTTGTCGGGCCGTGCTTCGGACAATGTCTGGCATTCGTGCAAGCGCTTTTGTACGGGCTTAGGGTAGGTACCAAAGGAGCCGTGGTTCAGAGGTGTGTAAGTAGGTGCGAGCATGAAATGGGTGTCTCGCATTGTCCGCCCGAACTGACATCTGGACGTGATGGGAGTGAGTGCATCTGCCATGATGCACCGATGATGGCTTCAAGTTGCTAAGAATAAACAAGATGGCTACCAAGCAAAGAAGGGATCTCGACGAAGTCCAATGGTCAAAAGTTGAAGACCGTTGTGGGAGTCGAGGTCCTCGGGTTTATATTAAAGATGAAGCTGCTTGTTTTCCAAGGGTAAAGTATGTGTTTAGGTATCAATATCATGTGACTCATAAATGTGGTGTGGTGGAAAGATGTTTATTAATCTATGTGATAGGCGCGCTAAGGCCTAATTGGTCCTAGTGGCCCTATGTGGAGGATTCTCCGTACGGAGGTCGGCACCAAAAGTCCTGGACATGCCAAGACAAGGGTCCAGGTAGGGCTGAGTGCTTGGCATACTTCCAAATCTCATGGATAGCATCATTATTCTTTATTTTAATGAGTACCAGTGCTCTATATAATAGCGACGTAGTGTATATATACGAAGTATATATATAATAGCGATATTAATAGAATATATAATAGTAATAATTAATAATATTAAAGTATTAATTATAGTATAAAGGAATAGAGAAAGAGTATAAAGACTTCTAATATATAAGTCTTATTTATATAGTATAATAAATAGAAATCTTCTTACTATTCTCTATCTTAATTATCTTTTATTAATATATCTAATATTTAAAGTATTAATTATAATAATAAAACTCGAATTTAAATACTTACTAAGTCTTATTAACTATAAATAAAACGTTATACTACTCGAAAAGATATATTAGAAATTTATAAGAAAGTCGAAAGATAATAGCTATATTATTAAAATTATAAATTTATTTAAAAGAGAATTTAAAAGTAAATAGAGCGAATATCGAGATATATTATAATTTATAAAGATAATATATCTTAAAGATAATAACGAGTATAGAAAAGATCGTAGAGGAGATAATATATAATTATACGACTTCGTCGAGCGAGCTAATAAGTATATACGTAATTATATAAAGCATTATCGTTAAATAAATGTAACTATACAGAAAGTGCCAAGAATGCCAAGAGTGCCAAGTATTTTAGCGCTGTCCAGGACTTTTGGTGCCGACCTCCGTAACAGTATGACTCTTCTCCGCACTCGGATATGCTCGTTATACAACGTGCATTAATTCATGGGTAACACGGAGCCAGCACAGCCATTGATATCTCCAGGCTCGCCAACAGATCTCATCCCGCTCCTTCTTGTCAATCACTTCAAGCAACTCAACTCAATTAATTATTGCGAAGAAGAGCCAGAGGTCTCCAATAATGCGGCCCTCACGTCCGCCGGAGGGATCTCCCGCTTTAGCGTTGATGATTGCGTTATCACGCTCTGCCAAGACCTCCTTATCGATAAAGTAGTGTGAGTAACGTTAGCCAGGAACATGCCGGCAAAGCCGCTTCCAACTTTCCACGCGAGCGGGGCCTAGATGCATCAACATCTTTCCCAGATTCCCAGCCTCGCCATTATTATTTCTCCGAGCTGCACCAACATTATTCTTGCGCCCCAGACATCTGCTCTCTCTCTCTCTCTCTCTCTCTCTCTCTCTCTCTACGCATCTCAATCCATTCCCATCCAATTCCTCCTGCTGCCCAAATTTGCCAATTGACCATTCACAATGGCACGAGCCTACCAAGAAGCCCACATCATGGACACTCTGACCGCTAGCGTCAAAGATCTCCAGACCAAAACCGCGGAGCTCGCCAAAGCAAAGGGATACCATGAGGAAAGGATCAAGAACCTGACAACCGCCAACGCGGAGCTTCAAAAGAAATACGACGCGCTCGAGGTCAGGATGAAAGCGAAGTATGCGCCCTCCCTCCATCCCTTCGCGCCTCGCGCCATCATCTCGCAACCCTCCCTCCCTCCCTTCCACACAGCCTAACAAGTCCCCACACCGACTGACCCATCCCAGCGAGCACAACACCACCGCCCGCATCCTCAACACGCACCTCTCCCTCTCCTCCCTCCCCAACAAAAACAACATCCCCCTCACCCCGCTCCACGACCTATCCACCAACCGCCCCCTCCGCAACTTCCCCAAACACGAAAAGGACATCAAGACCATGGGCTCCACCGACGTGATCCAAGCCCTGCAAGCGCTCGACGTGCCCTCCTTGGGCCTGACGCCGGGCGAGAAGAAGGCGAAGTTGCGAGGGGAAGTCGGGCTGGCGAAGGAGGATGCGGGGGGTGGTTCGAAGGAGGTGGATAACAATGATGAGAAGAGGAAGACGCCGAGTCCGGCGGATAAGGCGAGGACGAATACGGAGAATGCGAAGAAGGCGGCTGAGGTGCGGAGGAAGGTGTTGGAGGCGAAGCAGAAGAAGGCGGAGGCGGAGGCGGAGAAGGGAGGAGGGGAGGGGGGGAAGAAGTGAGGTGAGATGAATTGTTCGAAGGGAAGGGGGGGGAGGGGAGGGGAGGGGAGACGGTGCTGTTTGGTATTTTGGAGTGGTAATGTGGTGGGTTGGGTAAGGACACCCACGTCAACGATTGTATGAATGTTTGGAGTAGAGAAGAGAGAGTGATATATACCCGGGATGTGTGAGTAGGATTGGGAAAAGTTGGATAGAATATACGATTTCGGACTCGTCTTATCTAATACAGTGTACTTATCATCTCCAAACCGGACACCAGCCATGGAAATACCATTCCACCCTTGTCCTATCTATCCCTGCTCGTGAACGGAACTACGAGCAGTCACGAACATACCCATCAAGCACAGCACATTCAAGCAAGCAAGTCCTCTTCATTCCATGTACGATCTATCGATCTATCCATCCATGCAAGCATGGAAGATACCAGAGACGGAAAAAAGCCAATGGTGATCTATCCAGTCGGATGGAAAGGGGAAAAATAGGCTGCGATCGAGCTCCCATCCCTCCGCGTAATAGGGATCCGGATCCAGTCTGCACCATCTCACCGCGATGACGGAACGATCCACTACATAGCGCTGTCATGGGGAAACATCCGTCCGTCCGTCCGTCCATCTCATCCGCCGTCCATACCTAGCCTGCCCGTAGAAAAAAGAAAAGAGGGAGAAAAAAACGAGAAACGTGAACGTTCACTTCATCCTTCCGGACCCTTCCACCCGAATCACATCCATCCATCCTTTCCCATAACCCCGCACCCGCGGTATGAGAAACTTCCCTCAGAGTGGGGACGACTCCGGAGTGCGAACCTCCTACGCGTCGTCGCCCTCTCCCGTATCCTCCTCTTTGATAGCGTCGTTCTCCTCGGCTCCAGTGGCAGCGGTGCCGTTGACCGGATTGATGGTGGCTTTGCCGGCGGCCTCGAGCTCCTTGAAGGTTTTCTGGAGGAAGGCACTGGGGTATTTGTCGGCGCCGCGACGTTCCATGTTGGCGGCGACGTTGGCCCAGAAGCCGGTGTTGTAGGCGTCTTCGATTTCCTTCTTGGCGAGGAGGAGGTGCTGGTCCTGTTGGTTGAACGGGTGGTTAGCTGGGTTGAGGTGGGGAATGGGCAGGAAGGGGTAAACTGGAGGTGAACGTACGTCGCCTTCCTTCATGCGCATCATGTTCACCTTGATGCGATTGTAGCGGTTCGGGAGCGTGCTGGCAACATTGTTAGTCAAGTTTAGTACCATGTTGTTGGCAGAGCATACCTGGAAGCCGTGTCCTGTCCGGTCGCCTCCTTCCATGCGGCACGGATCTCGGCCCATCCCTCGCCCTTCTCCTTCATCGTGACCATCATCCTATCAGCATGGTCGGCATTGTCCCAGGAGCTCGGGATGCCGCGAGGAGCTGCAAGTTCTTTCTTGGGCGCCTGACGCTTGCGAGGCATGTTGTGGACAGTAGTTGCATTAGATTCGCCATTGCCCTTGATGGGGGACAGAGATTTGTCAGTGGTCTCGGCAGATTCGTTGTCGATCTTGACATCATTATCGGCCTTGGTGGCTTTGCCTTTAGCAGTCACGCGCTTTCCTTTCTTAGGAGTGACCGGCTCAGGGCCCTCAGTCTCTTCAATCGTCTCTCCATCCACAGTCTCGACATTAGGATCAGCCGCACTCTTCTTCTTTGGTGAAGCACGCTTCTTGGAAGAGGGAGTGATAGGATCAGAGGCTTCTCCGTTGATGTTGGTTTCGGCATTGGTAGCAGCAGTCGCTTTCTTGGTAGGAGAGCGCTTCTTGGTTGGCTGAGCGGAGTCGTCGTTGGCCGAAGCGGCAGCACCACGCTTCTTGGGTGTCTTAGGAGCAGGTTTGGTGTTGTCCATGTTGGTGCCCTTGTTCGCCTTGGCTGATTAGCCAGAGGTCTTTGGGAGTAAAATGGCGTGGGCATAGAAATGAAGATGAAAGGCTTGAGCAAGTGAGGAATAAGAAGGCTTAAGTGTCTAAACAAGATATTTTCGAATTTGGCAGATCTTGAGTAGTAAAGGGAAATATGATGTGAGAGCAGCCAGGGAGCCCTCGAATCTCGCAGCCCTTGGAGAAAGCAAGTGACGAGCTGGAGCTTCCTCGACTTGTAGACCTTACGTGGCTTGCGATAGGTTGAATGGTGTGCAGGTGTAGAGAAAATCATTGCGGCAACACGTGAGAAGAGAGGGATAAGAGGAATGAGTGAGAGCAAAGAAGTCGGAGCGAAGTCGTCTGTAGTACAAAGTCTTGATGCCTTGAGGTAAAGAAGGGAAGTGTGAGGTGGGGCATGAAGGTGTTGACTCACTTCATCAGCCTGGAGCTCATCACCATTGCTGCTGACCTTGACCAGGGTACCGGCAGTAGCGTTGAGGGGGGTGAATTCAGCGCCATGAGAGTACTCGTGAGTTCCAAGGCCCGGTCCGCCGTTGGCCTCAGCCATGGTAGCTTTAGTTCCGTTGTTGTAGGAAATCTCACCGAGGAGCTCGCGATCGACTTCGCTCAGTGGGCTCGACATGTTGCTAATGGAGTGCTAATGTTGCTGTAATGTATGTAGATGATGATAGTACGGTAGAGAGGGGAGTGTAAATGATGGAAGATGGAAGGTGGAAAGTGGAAAGTGGAAGATGAGAGTTGGAGGAATGAAAAGGAAGGAAGCGAGGCCAAAAGATTCACGGTGATCTTGGTCTCCAGGGGAGGTGATCACAACAATGTGAATTATTGGGCCGCGACCTTTATCAATGAGTCCGCCTCGACTTCATCAATGAGTGGTGGTGATCCTATTGTAGCATCCGAAGCAGAGACTCTTGAAACAACAGTTGCAATAGCGTTCATGCTTCAATGGTGACTGTTGACCCAAAGTATGCCAAGTATTGAGCAACTGAGCCACTGGTTTGAACAAAGATTTGCAGAGGGATGTTACTGCAGCTTTATTCCTCCAGAACATCTCTACTCTCACATGCTGCATGTGAGGTGTGCAAATGATATGGCGTCGTGCCGGCTTTTGAAAGCCAGAGTCATGTTGCGCAAGTAAGCTGCTGCTGCTGTGCAACCTCGTAGAGCAGCTCTCTCATACTGCAAGAGAAGCCCAAGGCGTGTTGAGGTCGGGTAGATTGAACGCACTTCCACCAATCCCCGGCTACTCCTCTGCCTTTCAAGAGATGGGCTTCTCAGCATCAGAATAACACCATGGAGATATCATTACGAAACAGCCAAAGCATCTGAGTGAGTGTGGCATCGATTGGAGCAGATAGGGCACCGAATTCCTCAAGCTCAGAATTGGGAGACGATATTATTCTCCGCTCTATGTATTGTTGCTACATTGCTCTCCATTGCAAAGGCTCTTCTCATGGCTCGAGTCTCTTCCTTTCCATAGCGCCGATATCCCAGGATTTCTGCGGTCTACTCAAATCCGTACCTGAACAGGTGGCCAGCTCCAATTCACACATGGCTATGATCAATTGCATACGCTGAGGCTGCTGCGGGTACCATGGCATGTGTTGAGAAGGGAGGTGGTCAAAGGAGCCAGAAAAGGCTGGCGCCGGAAGCCGGGGGCCGAGGCACCAATCAGGATTGAGGGGAAGCGGAGAACATCTTCTTTCCATCTTCGTTCTCTCTTGAGACAGGAGACACTCAAGCTGCTGGTCCTGAGCATGTAGCCCACTCGCGCAAAATATTCAAGCAATCAGGGAGGCAACACGACCCAAATCCTGCCTCCATCCGCTCAGTCACGACTCTCGTGAGTTCAGTCGGCTCGGATCGACGAACCCCTTCCTCTAGCACCAGAACGACAGCATCAAGAGGGTATAAAGAGGATCATGCTAGGGCTGGGCCCACCGAGAAGATACAGTGTTGGGGCTGCGCAGTCTGTAAGATAATGGAAGCATTCGAGAGGAGCGAGGAGATGGAATGCAGCTGCTGGCATCGTCCAAGGTATACCGGCCTACACGCAGAGAGATGCAAGGCCGATCGGCCAACCAGCGTCGACGCATCAGACGTCCTCTTCTTGTCTGCCAGGATCTAAATATATATATATGAGCCAACTGGACCGAAGGAATGAGATGTGTCCCTCCAGTTTGCGCGAGGGACGTTTCGGTCCGAGATAGCCTGGCACGGTACCCGTGGTCGTTTTCTCTGCAGAGCTTATGTTCGACTAAAACAAACGCCCGAAAGATTCTGCTATACAGGATGGGCGCACCATGTGACCGGCGTTTGGACATCATATTAATGAAGGCTCCCCATGATCCTTTCCAGCATCGTCGTATTCACCAAGCATGGAGGGTTGTACTGAGTATCTTGAAAGAGTCCTTGAGGAGGAAGGCCAACGCTTCTGTGCTGGCTGAGCATGATCTCGACGTAAACGTTCCATGTGATGGTTATGGAGAGCTCTGAAGGAACCCATTACGGCAAGACCCAAGGGTGTATCGGTAGCCATACCCTGTCCCAGCGCGGACGTTCCTCCCAACGGTCATGGCGAGCTTCGGCTTTCCGGAAGGGATCCATGGATGGTTCGCGAGTATCATCCGGATAAACGATGCTGGTCATCTCGGCTTCTTATAGCTTTCCAAGAGACCAAAGCCCCAGCTTCAGCTGTGCTCCGTTCTTGCCCAGCGTTCAGAAAGCGATCGGCCGCATCCGGACATAGCATGGATGATCAAGGTCCCGCCCAATACGCAGCCCGGAGGCGTAAAGGTAATTTTCGTCGACCTGATGATCTATCCTGTAAGCAAGAAGGTCGAATCGTCCGACGCGTACCCAGAAGAGCAGTCCGGAGCTCTCCGTTCATTCTTGTGTAGTGCTAAAATATGCGCACTGCTGACCGTATTTTGCTTACTTAGCCTCCTGTGCTCATGTCTGCTGCAGGAGTAAAGTGAAACGTTGAAAAGGCCTTGCGGAGTCCTGGATCAAATCCACCCTATGACAAATATTACAAAAAGGTCAGGCGAAATCTCAGGCTTTCGAATCGTGCGAGTTCCCGTCCCCGACCAAGGTAGGGCCAGGCTCACGCCTAGTCCTCGTCAGGTCCTCTACCTGACGAGGCTTTTGTGATGGCCGCATCATAGCTGGCTTTTGCTGCTGCCTTTGTCTTTCGTATATATTTTTGATGTGTAACCTTGGCGATGATCGAACACGAGCTTTGATGATGGTGAAATGTAGGTAGCTGTCCCATGCTGGCTCCTCATTTGTTCATGGCTTTTGACGAAGCCGAGCCGTTTCCCTTTTCACTATGGAAATCGTTCCAATAACATATCTGGACACGTCAACCTCCAAGCTCTCAGAGACAAAGCTGGCATGTGGAGCGGGCAGAGTTGTGAAAAGCCTTCACAGGCTACGGTAACTGTGTTTAACTAATTTTCACACACGATATGTATATAATCTCATCCCCAGCCGTGACTTTTCTGTCTAGCTTTTCTACTCGTCTATTCAAGTTATAGCGGAAGCTTCCTCTTTTGTGATGTCCGTATCGTTTAGTGCTGTTTGTTAGTCAGCCAGCATTGTTGAGTTCTGTGTTAGGAGTCAGTGTTGACGTGACGTGCAGCGGCCGCATTAGGTGTGGAGACGGAAAATTTAGGGATAGGAGAGCTCTATCTATCTATCTATCTATCTTACTTACTACGAAAGCACATTTATAGCTTGATGGATCTGCTTATAGTGCTACTGTAACTCTGGATCTCAGTCATTGACTTGGCTATCTAAGGAATCTCTTGCAATCCAAACCTAACTCGCTCAAGGCCCGGCAAGTGTTGATATAAATCTGTTACATTGCCCTCTCTCTACAAGAGAAACCTCTACCACACTACATCACAACACAGAGCATACACATCACGGACCTAGCGCATTCGAAAGTCCTCTGTTGCATAGCGTATCGGGTCTCAGAAATCGTGTCATGCATGTCGGCTCCAGCATCGGAGGATACGGAGCCTTTTGTGGGTGGTGGGTCGCATCGGGGTGTCACATTGCGTGCATACGACCGAAGCAAAAACCATGCATATACGGCACGGCCCATACAGGCGACAAACCCGTACAAGCGATGATATGAACTAAGTGCTGTCTGATGCGCAAAATGCCAGCAAGAATTTACAGTAAACCGTCCGTTAGGTCTGGTTCCCCCCCCACATTCGATCCCCCGCACGCCTTTGAAGACCCTACTGCGACGATGCTGAGCCCCCTTCTCATAGCCGGTATACACCTTTTGAGATCCCTGCATTGGAACATTGTTTCATGGTCCTCCGCAGACCGCAACTGGTTACAGAGGCTGACAGGATGGGCTCCGTGGTATGCTGCTGCTGGCTGGGTCTTTCCCTTCGGATCTTTTTTGCGGCTTCGGTCTTGGACTGAGGAGTCGGAGATCGGTAGCCCTGGGGTCAGCTAGTGAGTACGACGGGTGAGCTAGGCTGAATCCGCGCGTATGTTCTAGTGCCTGAGCCACGCGCGTGTACGTAACGGACTTTTGCTGCCTGCGAGGCTGAGTGGAAGCTAGAGGGTGGGAAGTAATGCTGATTCAGTCGCCCTTTCTTTCGTTGCAGGCTGTGTGGTCGATGCTACCATGATGAGTAGGCGGTCCAGCGCGGTGGCAGGGAAGTGCGGAGGGTCGTGGTGGAGTTTCAGCAGTCGCAGACGATGACTCATGAGTTGCTGGCGGGAACTCAAAATCTTGGGATTACGCCAGGCTGCAGCCATGGTCATCGCTGTTCTTGGGTGGTGGTATCGTCAGATTCCATTCCTTGGAATACGAGCTGGCTACGTGTGCTTGCTTGGTCATCGCAGCACCTCAGTTTGGTAGAGGACTTTTATTATTCGAGCAGTAGCACCATGAACTCTGGCTCCGTACTTCTTCAGTAAAAGCAGGCAAGCTTCAAAGGCGGAGTCTCGGATTTGGGGTCTAATGCAACGTCTAGGACGATCAGGGACGTGCATTTAGCTTAGTGTCTCCTGACCACGGATCGCGCAGCTTCGGCACTAATGGTCGTGCAGACTTGAGCCCATCTTAAAGGTTATTCTGGTGCTGGCAACCTCATTCATCGATTGCGAAGGGAGGTTCTTGCTCTTAGCGTGCAAGTCCAAGGTTGATGCGCCCCAAAACACATAGGTTGCTCGAGGAGAGAGCAAGGCGCAGCACCATTAGAACTAGGCTGCTGGCGAAGGCGGTCTTCACTAGCGTGCTCGTTCACTCTGCGACGTCTCCGTTTATCGAATGAATGGAGACTACCGAAATAGTGTGGAGCTCCCTAAAATAGTCCTAGATCAGTCGTCAACTTGAGCAAAACGCGAGAATACTCATCGGGATCAAGAAAGATATCTCGATGGACTATCATGCTTCTATTCCTGCATGTCATCGGCAAGGCTGAAACGAATTGCTGTATCAAACATGTGGAAGGACTTGTTGACCTTGCTTGGTTAAAATCTATTCTAGCGTAGCTGGGATTTGGCTAGAGATCCGCCTCCAGGCTCGAAATAACTCACGAAACCCAATCCTACGTGGTCTGTGCCATGATAGGAGTTATATTTGATCTGATG